TAGATTTTCAAGAGAACTCTGTGATAGATTTTGTATATTGACAATATATTATTTTTATGGACCTTGGGGATGGCAAATTGGAAACAAATTTGGGTTGAGACCTAGTTTTCTAATGTTTACTTAAAATATAAGAGCCTAGTAGAACATTTATCTGCTATAGAAAGGGATTGGGATCCCCAAAATCTGCTGGGTGCATCAGTGTGTATAAAAATGTGTGTTTAACATTGTATTTATCTGTTTTCATTTTTTTCAAGTCTAAGTATAATGTGGTATGAGCTGTAAGTTAGCTAACTCTTCCATTTTCTGGAACTGTGCGCCAGTTGTTCTTCAGCGATCAAGAGTCAAAGGCAGGGTCTTCATAAGTTATCGGTGCTTTCGATACGAAGTAATAAACACTGCAGTACTAAGCCATTGGTACCTTTTGCATAGAGGAATTTGCTTGGAATTTATGTGTTTTTCATAAATTAAAAAGAAAAAGAAAACCGGCTTGGGCGGCAGCTACTTGCCAGGTCAGACCACCCCAATTTTCCTGGAGCTACAGCAAAACACCCCCCACCACCCCCACACTGGCACAAACCAGTCTGAAGTTCAGTCTTTTTATAGCAACGTGGAGGCGGGCATATTAAATTATCATGCCACATTTCTGCCAGGTTTTGACTGTGTGTGAAGTCTAGCTTATAAAGCAACCAAAAGCAACCAAAGAAACAAGGCTGCTTTTTTCAGCTGGCCCAGGGTTCTGACAGGGTGATCGTTCTGGGTTCACGAAGGCATCCACACACACCTAGGCAGGTAGGCAGGGAGGTGGGCTGGCCAAGTGGCAAAGGAAGGGAACCAGGGGACAGGGAAACAAGGACATCATGGCCCTCAGGCAGGAGGGCTGTCCCAGGACTGCAGTCCCGGGCCGTGTTTCTGGTTCCCAGCCCATGCTCACACTTCAGTCTGGTTTCACACCCCCAGGGCTCAGAGATATTCTGTCCCCTTTGAAGTCTTAATACTTGCCAGGCGGAGGGGTCTGCGATGTTACTTTGTCATTAGGTTTCAAAAATGGGATGCCGAGACCTGCCAGTCACCAAGTCAGTCACTGAGTCAGGTGTGGAGGCAAAGAAGTGTGGAGGGTCCATAGCTCGATTTTCTTCTAGCAGTTAACATGACTAATTGCTCTTGTTGAAATACATCTCTGAAAACTATGCCTCATTTTTTGGATACTCCCCCCATTGTTAAAACATGTTGCATTGCTGTGTGTGTGTGTGTGTGTGTGTGTGTGTGTGTGTGTGTGTGATTTTCTTTTTCTAAACTGTACAATATTCTAGGTTCCTGACTGACTTAATTTACCCAGAAATATCCCAATTTTTTAAGTCTTTCCCCTCTGACAAACCAAAGTGATGAAGTGGTTGCTTTTGCTATTCTGAATTAAATCCCTTTACTCATTTTCCTTCAATATCAGCTTTTTTTGTGTGGGCTACAGGGTCTCCCTTTGCAGCTAGGACTTATAGTGACCTTCCTGTCTCACCTCCTCCAGCACTGGGATAATAGGCATGCGCCACACCACCAGGTTTTGGGTCTGGCAAGGCATGTGGTATCAGGGACTGAACTCAGGGCCTTGCCCTTGCCAGGCAAGCTCTTATGCCACTGAGCTATCTCCCCAGCTTTAATACCAACTTTTACAGCAAGTTTTAAGATATGAAGATGGGATGTGAGCCTTGCTATCTTAGCACTTGTTAAGGTCCTTCCCCTGCTTAAATCAATCTCAGTTAACTTTGATTTCTTTCTTTAGAAGACCATGAGCTGAAATGATGCTTCACCAGATGTGAGCACTTGTTCCTTCCCCAGAAGCACACAATTGAGCCTCATTTTACTTAGAATATTTTGGTCTTTTTCATTTTCAGTCTCATGTTATATTTAGCTGGCCAGTGGCTATATTTGTAGGAGTACGTTATCTGGGGACACGCTGGTAGAAATTTAAAAAGTTTTGCTTTTTGGTTGTTGATCTTGAAACCCTTGTCTTTTTCATTTGGATCTTCAAATTCTGCCCGTCCTCTGCATGCACTGTTTTTGCCAGTTCCTGATATAAATCACGCACTTCTCTGTGCTTCTCATCACAGGAGCGCCAACGCTAACATTACGTAGTGTGTTGTTCCATGCTGGGCCTTGCAGGAGTCTGCAGGCCCCATCAGGAGAGGGGCGTAGCTGTCTGCCCTGTTTTCTGCTCTGAGTGTGTAAAGCCATCTTCCAGCACTGCTGTTGGCTGGGAGCATCTGCTCAACAAAATTAATTAAGAAGTTGTTGGATTTGCCTTTTAAATTAGCATGACTTCACTAAGTCAATGGTGCTGATTTGATTTTTAGCGTTTGTCATCGTGAGGATTGAACCCAGGGTCTTCACACTGAGCTACCTCCTCATCCCTTCTTTATGTTTTATTTTGAGTCCAGGTCCCAGTAAGTTGCTGAGTTGCCCAGGCTGTGTTGAGCATTGGAGTCTCTTGCCTTGGCCTCCCAGGGCACTGAGGTTACGGCACATGCGTTGCGCCAGTGTGATTTCCATTCAAAGTCCATGACTTTGAGTTCAGAGCACCTGCATTCAGTCCTGGGTATGCCCAGGAGAGAGAGCCAGGAGGTGCAGATTCTCCAGCATCTGGGTAGCACTCCCTACCCTCTTCTCTGGCTGCTTCCTCATGTTACTTCTTTTATTTTGTTTTATTTTAATTAGTTAATTTATTTATTTTTATGTATTTGGTATAGGGTCTCACTACTCAGCTCAGACTTCTAATGATCCTCCTACTTTCAACTCTCCAGCACTGGGATTACAGGCCTGCACCACCATGCCCGGACTTGGTGGTTAGGACAGTGCGCCGGCGCCAGGGTGGGGCTGATGTGGCGCATGTGCTTGGTCGCACATTACTTCTTTAGGTGGGCGTGATTGGGTGGCATCTGTCAGGTGCTTTTGTCCCCCTTGTGCCTGACTCTGGTTCTCTGGCTGGCATAATGCAGCCTTGTTGTAATCCTGTTCAGAACTCTCCCCGTGGTCTTTCCCAGAGTGTTGAAGAGTTTTAATCCTAGGGATCCTAACAGGGTCAAGGGCAGGGTGTTACCTAGGCACAGACCCTGGCCACCATCCAGGCCAAAGAAGCGGGTTCATTCCCATTGGCTCTGCCTACTGACTGACTTGGAGAACATGCATCTGGCCAGGAGGGGTGTGACCTCAGGAAGCAGGGAGAAAGCCTGCTCCATGTCGGTGGGGAAGAGAATGGCCAAATGGACTTGGGAAGAAAACTATAAACCGGCAGACTTCTGACATTTCTGGGAATGGAGATCTCTCTTTCAGGTCTCTATTTCTATTTCTCTATTTCTGCCTAATACTCTAATATCCACGGGGAGCATTGTTATTTGTGTAGCGGTCAATCCTAAGAAAAAGAAGAGAGCGCTAATGTAGTAGTCACTTTCTTGGTGCCGACACATAATGCCCAACAGCCCTAATTTAAAGGAGGAAGGGTTTATCCGGCTCATAGTTTGTAGCAAGTTCTGTCCATGCTCAGCTGGCTCCAAGGCAGCATGGCAGAGGGGCCCGGCAGGGGACAGCTGCTCACAGCATGGAGAACAGGAAGCACAAAGAGTCGAGAAAGGAATTAGGGGCTGAGATGCACTCTGCTAGGCCGTGGCCCAGTGACCCATTTCTTCTAACCCTATCCTATCTCCTAAAAACAAATCAGTGATATGCCCCATAAGGGACATCATCTAGATAGAAGGCAATATAGCTATTTAAACACATTTCCCATACTTAAAAAAATGTGAGAAAGGCGTCGCAGATTGTGGAAGCAGGAGGGGACGGATGATGACAGGTATGTTCCTTCACTAACCTCCTAGTTGAGCTTGGCCAGATGGCCTTTCTGGACTATGGAGAAGAGGTAGTCTCTGTGGTTTTCCCTTTGTCCCCAAAGTGGCACCAAAGTTTTATTTTCTGAAGAATTATCTGTGGCTGAACCAGCACTTGCTTCTTGTGAGTTGATAGCTAAAGAACAAATAAAAATGAGCTGTCACATGGGGGTTTTTGTGTATGTGTGTATGTGTGTGTTCTAGATACCAACATCAGGTTGTCCTGCAATCACTCTATATATTTTCTGTATCGTTCAAGTAGTAGAAATTTCCACATTAAATTTGCCTGCACTGATCCGGCTGCAGAACATAAACATATCCATAGGCTAACCACTTGTTTGATTTAAAACCACAGGAAAAAAAGTGATTCGACCATGACAAATTTCTATTTCTTTTCACCAAACCATGCAGAAAAGCAAAGATATTAATAGAAAGTCAGGAGAAAAAAAAAGAGCTATTCAGTGATTCTGATATTTTAAACTTCCTAGTACGGTATGTGGAAGCATCTGGATAATTCAGTTTTTGCTTTTTTGTGTGGTTCATTTATCATCCAGATGCTTGCCCTCGTGGAAGCACCCCTGGAACTCTGAGCTCATCACGGGGAGCTGAAAAAGCAGGCTGTCTGTCTGGCGGTCCTTTGGCCTTCCCATCTCCCCTCACTCTCCTCAGAGGACCTCTTCCTCCCAGTCTCCTGGGATTGAGGCAGCGCTGCCAGATGTTTAGGTGTGAGCCTTCACATGTCTTTTTTTAATCTTCGTAACTGTTCTGCATCCTGTCTGCTTGAATTATAGATTGCATTTGTCAAATAATGACATAAATAATTGGATGTCTTCTAAGACCTTTGAAATTCAACTTCCTTGAGTTTAGATGAAAGTAGGTATTATCTGCCGTGCCGCCAGCACATCTAGGATGCCCTGAAACTGGCTTCCAGGGTCCTGGGCTGGCCAGTTCCAGCCCTTGCTCCCCTTCTCCAGGGGAGAAAACAAGGGGCTCTTTCTTCTGAAAAGTAGAAATGGAACCCATCCACCCTACCTACGATGCGAGTGTCCTCGTGAGGAACAACTCTGACCTGACATCAGCAACTTGGTGAGACGACACTGGTCCTTAATATGCGTTTCTTTGGGCATTCAGGAAGCACTATCGGTTGTGAGTGAGGACCAGTCGTTATTTGAGTGCGCCTACGGGACACCGCACCTGGCGAAGACAGAGATGACCGCGTCCTCCTCCAGCGACTATGGCCAGACTTCCAAGATGAGCCCACGGGTCCCTCAGCAGGACTGGCTGTCTCAGCCCCCCGCCAGGGTCACCATCAAGATGGAATGTCACCCGAGCCAGGTGAACGGCTCCAGGTAAGGGAACGGCCACCCCCACTTCCTGTTCCCCTGTCCTGAACAGGCCGCGTGGAATCAGTCTCTCTTCTCCAAGGACGGGGTTCAGAAGAGGAGCCCTTTGACCAGGAGCATTGGGGCACACTGAGAAAATGTGGTTTGGGTTGTGGATAAAGGTTGTAAAACCAGTAGAATATTTACCAAGAACTCTTCTTTGAAGATTTGGTGTTCAGTTCTGTTTCTCAAGCACTGGGAGGGGCTCCTCACCCCTGCCCCCGTATGGCACAATTCATCTCTCAGTTTCTGTTGTCTGAAACATAATGCTGTCTTCTGATTCAGTGGAGAGGGGACATCTGCCAGGGCCAGGCAGTGCAGCACAGGTGCCAACACGTGGCTTTACCCGTGGCTCTAGCTCTAACCCTGCTGGCCCTGTCTGTCTCCAACCTGACCTTCCTTCCAGCCCTGTTGTCCCTTTCTCTTACCCTTGTTCTCCACTCAGACTTCACACCAAGCCCCATTTCCAGTAATTATGTTCTTGAGTTTGTCACCAAACTGTAGCTGTCACTTACAGTGCATTATCCAGTGCAGAACTGCTTCAAGCGCATAGAAACGTGGAAGGCAGCTGTGAAAGGTAAGATTTCTTCCATGATGGTGTACTGTCCTGTATACAGCCAGGCAAAAGTACAGCATCTCAGGTTAAGAAAAGATGATTTCTTTCCAGTATTGTGTGGCCTTCATTTCTACCTAAGGTCACCAGGACAGTTTGTAGTTTCTCAGGCTGAGGAGAGTGTAGAGTCCTTTCCCTCTGGCACCCTGTCAGAGCCCTGTGTGGTCCTGAGGAAAGCTCATCCCTGGGTGATGGCTGAGGGAACCAGTGCTCAGGCACTTTCTAGCTAATGCAGAATCACCACTTAAATAGACTCAGAGTTTGGACATAAACCACGGGGTGTGGACTCCACGCCCAGACCATTTTCCACTCAGAAGCTGTGCTAGGTCCTCTTTCTTATGTCTGTGTTTAATGCTAAGGTGCTTGAGTCCTGGAGTTTAGAAGTACTGGACATCTGTGTGTCACCTGCTAGTGGGGCGCTGAAGAAGGCGCCAAGCCACAGCCCCTCAGGGGAATGACCACCCGAAGGCTGAACATGTCACATGGGCAGAGGGGAGGTGCCACGCCATTCTGGACTCTGAGAAGCCCATCTCTCCTGGGCCTCTCCCTCCTCAACAGCAGAACTAACTCTGTGTTGAGCACCCTGCCACCAGTCCTATGGGCCAACTCAAGGCAGGTGCATCTTGAGGCCTTTAAAGTCACAGAAAGTAAATAATTCAATACCTAGTTTGCTGCCAATTCTATCTGACCCTGTTTGTGATTAAGCCTGAAATGTTGCATGGATCCGAAATGGGGCCAGTCCCGGTCCCAAAGCCTCAGCAGTGCCTCGGTGGGGAGGCTAAGAGCAAGACAGAGTTCACAAGCTTTTCTTCCCAAGGCGAATGTCTCTCTCCCAGAAGTGCACTGCGAGCACTTGAGACAGAGGGCAGGCTGAGGGGCGATAGAACCTCTCAGGGCTTCTGTTGAAGGCCAGGAGAACACATGCCCCCAGCCCTTGTCCTCAGTGCCTGGCCTATCTGAACTTAGCTGAAGGAGGCAGAGCAAGAAGGCAGGAAGAGCGCTGCAGAAATAAAGGTTCACTTGTCCTCCCTGTGTTCCTGCTGAGCTTGAAACATCAGAAGTGGGGCTGGGGAGAAGCTCAGTGCTTGCCTGGAAAGCGCAAGGGCCTGAGTTCAATCCCCAGTTCTGCAATAAATAGATAAATAAATAAATAAATAAATAAATAAATAAAATTAAATAAAACATCAGAAGTAACTCACGCTCCCCGCGTGGTACAAGGGCCAGCAGTGCTCTGCTCCACTTGTCACCCATCGATGCCCTTGATCAGTAGCCGATGTCTGGGCCTGGGGCAGCCATTCCAGTCATGGTGGTTTATTCAGGGTCCTGGGACAGGACTTGGGGACACTGGACGTTGTCCTCCTTTCAAGGAAACAATGGGGTCGTAGCGCTGTTCCAAGCGCTCCTGGGATTCCCACATTGCTCAGAACCCTCCTACCCGCCATATCTGAGCCCCTGTGGCGAGTGCCCTGCGTGACCACTGCCTCCTTGCTCACCATCTGGTCCATTTGTGGGCTTCAGTGTAGCAGGAAGTGCCATAGGGAGCAAGGTCCCTTGGGGACTATGGTCACTAGGTGTGGCCTAAAGTAGTGCTTGGCACATCCAGTGACAGACAACACAGATGTCAGCTCCTCACCAAACAGCTGGTCACCAAGTGTCACCCTTCTGAAACCAGAGACTCTCCTGGAGCGTGGGGCTTGGCAGCTGTTCGTCCCTTCTGCAGAAGAGATTTCAGGGGCCAGGCCTGAGTTACCCAGAGTTTAGTATTCTGTTGAGGCTTGGGGGTGCTGGCCTGTAGTGTCCGGTAGGTTCCTCAGAACCTAAGGGACATGGACTGTTCCAGGAGCTTTCCTTTAAAGAAGTGACTCATGTGGCTGTGGTGGCTGGCAAAGCTGATGTGTACAGGCAGGCTCTCTCCTCTGGAAAATCTCAGGGTTTGCTGTTTAGGTTTTCCACTGATTAGGTGAGGCTCACCACAATCTCCTTTGATCAAGGACTGCTGCTAGCAAATGTTACGTTTTAAAAATGCCTTCACAGCCACACCAAGATTAGAGTTTGATAAAGTCGCTGGAGAACGCAGCACAGTCAGGATGACAAAAAACACTGACCACCACGCCCGATGCCACACGTACCTGTAGTGCGCAGGGCCCTCTGCAGGTAGGCCTTTACCTTGGTGCCCCTGAGTGTCCATATTACTTACTCTGCAGGGGCTCAGCCTGCCTGGGCAGGAAGCAGAAGGGTGGCCGTGAGCAGACTTGGGGCTCCCCAGAAACCCTATAGGCTCTGTGACCGCAGAGTCTGTATTCAGTGTTCCACATGCAGCCGATGGTACAGAGGAAGGAAAAGCTCAACATCTTTCATGAAGCTGGGTCACCTCAGCTGGGTCACCAGCTGGCTCCGAAGTGGTCCAGGTGGCAGACAGCTTTGCTGACCTGCTGTGCCCCTCATGCATGCTGGGCCCACCCCCCATGGTGTGTGTTTACTCTGCCCTCTTCCAGGGTTCACGAGGGGGTGCCTGGGCAGGCCAGGTCAGCCTGCCGGGGAACTGGGGTGGAGGTGGATCACCTGCAAAGGGGCTCCAGGGATAGATGCTGCCGTGGCCAGCCCACCTCCCAGTGGCCCTGCTCTGAGCTTTGGAGCAGGCCTCTTCTGCAGCATCATGGAGCTATGTGCCACAGAATTCACAGACAGCCACAGCTGGGTTTAGCGAGGCTACACGGGCCATGACTTAAGTGTCACTGCCCTTTTGCAGACACCTCTCAGGGTGGGAGAGACACTTTGTGGCATGACGTGTGGCCAGAGCACACCACCTCCATCTCCATAGGACTCCTGGGCAGCAACCTTCCACCTGTCCCCATCCATCTACCCATTGCCCACAGAGGATGGGCCAAGGATGTTGGGCAGTGGTGGCAGTGGCGGAGGGACCTGCTTCCCAAGCTAGTGATGGAAAGCTATAAAATCTCAGCCCTGATGTGCTTACGAGCTCCTGATATGAAATACAAGTGGTAAAATGAGATCTGTTGCCCCTAGACTCGCACTTTTGTGAAAAATAATAAAAGCAAAGTGGGAGAGACAGGGAGAGAGTTTGCAGGCCAGCAGGGAGGCCTCGCAGGTTTGGCTCAGCACCTCTGCATCAGCTGTGTTCTGCAGACACAAACCTGACAGTGACAGCATGGTGCAGACCTGGGCTAAACTTTCCCTCTCCTCCAGGGTTTTCAAGCGCAGGCACCCAGAGCCTTCCCTGAGGACTCGGGGGTGTGGGGTGTGTGTGTGTGTGGGGGGTATTCCTGTAGTGAGCCCCTGGCTGCAGGCTTCAGTGTGCCAGGATGGTTCTGAGGCCCAGCCCCTGTGGACAGCAAGATCAGCACAGGTCAGTAAACTGTCCTCCCTTGCAGGGGACAGCACCACTGTACTCCCTCTGCTCCTGGCCCTCAGAAGGCCATGGTGGCAGTGGGTGCCACCTTTTTCTTTCCACGGGGGATGGTGACTCTGTGGAGTCCCCTGCAGCTGGACCTAAATGAATGAATGTGCCGCACTGTGAGTCCTAATCCAGACCTAGCCTGAGCCACCTGCAGCCATGAACTCAGTAGTTCTACTGCGTGCAACACAGCCTGGTAGTTCTTCAAGTGGACTCCCAGGAGGAGTCCCCGGAAGCTTGTCCATGATACATATTCTAAGGACCAGTTCCAGGCCTTCTGAATCTGAAGAGACCTGGGGAAGGCCCCAAAGGCTCGTGTTTTTGGTTTGTTTGCTATTTTTGTGTGTGCTGACCCTAGGGCCTTTGCACTGAGCTATGTATGTCTCCAGACCTTGTTTTACTTTTTACTTTGAGTTGGGGTCTTGCTAAATTTCTGTGTTGCCCAGATTGGGCTAGAACTTTCGGTTCAACCACCTTGGCCTCCCTGCTAGGATTACGGCATCCACCACCATGCCCGGCCAAGCAGGGATTTTAAGGAGCGCTCTGCGCAGTTTGATGCTCTGGGGCCTCGGAATCCGTGCTGTGAGCACAGTCCTGGGAGCCAAAGACAAAAATGTTCAGGAGCCAGGCAGAGGTGGCCTGCGCAAACGTAGCAGAGGTGGCTGGCTGGTTCCCAGGGAATGTCTGCCTAGGTGAGCTGCTCCTCGCTTCCCTCCTCACTTGGGCCCACCTGTCCCTGTGGTCTGGGGAACAGATGTTGCTGAGTGTGCACAGACACCTGTGAGTGTCAACAGCTTTTGCCCTGCTCAGGTAGAAGACACTTTGGACCTATTATTCACAATGTGTGAAGGTCAGGGGATTGGTCCAGCTTGGTCTCAGATACATCGCTTACTTAGGGGCCTCTTCACTCATTCTGTAGTGTTTATTGAGTACCTACTA